AACGGCCATGTGTAACTGTTGCATAGCTAACTTTAGCATAGCTAAGGTTAGCATAATCGGATACTCATTACTCACGTTAGCTAGCTTAGCATATATATGTATATGTCCCACTCATTTTAAACTGCAAACTGCATTAGTAGGCTATTAAATATCCAAATACTCTTTTATTATTAATACTAATAATTATTCACATACTTCATGTATGCATTTACAAAAAAATAAAGTAATGCATTTACAAAGGATTGGCAGTTAGGTTTATCAAGGTCCAGTGGGTAACATTTAGGAGGATCTATTGGGAGAAATGGAATATAGTGTATAATCACCAGAGTAATTGTTGTGTTTTCATTACCTTAAAATTAACCATTTCTATTCACAGACACCGCAGGTTGCCTTCCGTGGTAATGTTTCTACAGTAGCCTATAGCTTGCATATTTTGTGCCAACCATAGTTTCTCCCTCATAGTTGGAAAGAGTGTGAAAGGAGTGTGATGCAGTCTGCAACTACACCGCTAGACGCAACTATATCCTACACGCTGGACAATTAAGGCATTTTTTTTAAGTTTTAGTGGTGCAACCTTATTTACAGTAAATCACAAGTTTGAAATTTAGGATGGACTTTATGCATAAACTTCAGGCTGGATTTACAGGAAGCTGTGGCAACCTAATCCAGCATCTTTTCTACAGAAAATACCCAGCACTGTATCTTCTGTTTTGGCGACTTCTGAACATAGGCAACGAGAGGTTAAATAAACAGTAGGGTACTCAGATGTGTATGTAGCTGCGAGGTAAGCAGACTTGTTTGCATCCTTTGTCCATAGATATTGGGGCTTGTTATGTTGATTTGTTTTGTAAAAGATCAAAAATTCATTCAAGCATGACGGAAATACAGCATTCTGGCTAATTTAAATTTGATTCAGTTAATACCCAGCAGCATGGATCTTGGCAAACAGTGAACAACCCAGCCTCATCAGAAAACAAACTGAGAAGCGGGCTATTTGAAAACTTCACAAGCTCTCTGCTTGGTTAACACAGAACAATTGGTAAAATGGGTCTCTCCAGGCTTCCAAAGCTTGAAACAATATCAGTGCACAGCAGAATAGAGGGTAAATTTGCAATGTAGTTGAATGGAGGTGATGTTTTGCTTCTACGCCAATAACAGTCATAGATAGAATTTGCCCATTTTCTAGTAATAAGCCTTCTATTAAATTTAAGTAATGTAGCTTGAAGTATTTATTGTACTGTGTCCAGTGGGAGACGATGGGTGAAGTGAAGCCTTAAAATAAGATGCATAAATGTGTTCACTTGGTATTCTTCATTTGTATTTGGCGTAGTTATACATTTTCACTGCTGCCACTGAGGGAAGGCAAATATGTCAAGAAATATTCCATGGTATTTACACACTCACACACACAACCCCAGGCTCGCTGCTTTCCCTGTAACCATTCTCTTTCTTTTCATGCACATTGTGCCTTTTATCTATTTTGTAGACACACAGACATAGTGCATGCGTGCACATAAACACGTAAACACAAACAAGGAGCATAACAGAAAGACAGAAAAATAAGATCCCTTTTTTTCAACACTTGATTACAAAAATCAATAAGCACCCTGAAATGGCTAGAATATGCCATTAGGTCTTTTGTATTGGTAAACAATGTATTGTTTGGTTTCAGATGCTGGAGCACAACAATTTAACACCCACTTTACTACACCTCATGAACGCAGTCATATTTATGTGTGTGCTTATTTCTCTCTGGCTATATAATATGTCTACCCTGTTGTGTCTTGGCATGTCTGAGTTTGTGAGCCATTCCCTGTGGCTCCTTTTATATGGAAGGTGTTTTTTCTTTATTTTTTCTTTCTTTCTATTATGTATGTCTTCCTTAGATGCACCTTTGTGATTTGCGAAGCTTTACTAATACAGTATGTTAATTCTACTGTTTCTGCTGTGAACATATTAATAAGCAGTATTTATTGTATTTGTGTGTGTGTTCACCTGATCGCATTACCTGTGTGTTTATACATTTTTCTTATTTCTTCTGTCATCCCACCCAGATGTTGGGGGTTTCTTTGAGGCAGGAACCTTGGTCAAGTACAACTTCATGCCCGAAGCGGTTGCAGGAGCCAGTAGGGACGCAAAGATCCTGATGAATGAGCTGACGCCACATGAAGTGAATCTAACAAAGGAGGAAGTGGCCTTTAGTTTCAGCACATCCAATGCTCCTGCTATTCTGATGTATGTCAGCTCCAAAACACAGGACTATCTGGCTGTTGTTTTAAGGCAGAACGGTAAGATCCACACATATACTCAATTCGTTGTTGCTCACTACTGAGAGGTCTGCTTGGAGTAATGCTTGTTAGTGCTGCAAAGTACATTTTTAAAGGCTGTCCTTGCAGCACAGTTTGGAAATTTCTGTAATCTCCAAAAGTCCTCCCCAGTCAGTGGCCTCCTACTGAGCAGCTGACAGGCGGTGAAGTGCTTTGATAAAATAGAATATACATTTTAAAGTGCCATCTAGCGTTTCAGCAATGGATGTGCACAATCATCAAAATAAAACTACAAAACACTCAGGCTGCCACGGGGTGCTGCTTATAGTTCTCGCCCTCACACTCAGG